CTGTGCTGTCACACTGCTCCTACTGCCACTGTTCTCCCAGTCACTGCATCTTACCCAGCATCTGGCCATACAGAGCTGAGGGACATAGTAGGCCTGGGCTGATGGTTGGACCGGATGATCATAGTGCTCTTTTCCAACCTTAACGATCCTTTGAACTGCTTTCTTTACCTCACCTTACAGCACCAACAGCTTGTGCTTTCATCACCAATTGCAATAACTGACTTCAATATTTTATAGTGAAAAAAACAGCACTGTTATGATTTTCTTTTAAAGGCTGTTGCCATCACTGACTTTACAAACTGCAATAAACAAGGTATGTACCTTGCAATTGCATGCACATAACTGAGATCATTTACTGTTTCTCCACAGTCAGTCTTTTTCCAAGCAGAAATTCATGAATAACTGCAATGGGAAATTGCCTATTCTATTTTGAACACATGCACACTGAAAAAGAAAAAGAAAACACACTTTTTTTCTCCAATTTTTCATTTTGCATCTTGGTTGGCACCCAAAATGTTTCTCTGCAGCTTCCAATTATTTCTCAGGGAAAGAAGCTTTCTCCATATTTCCCAAGCTCATTGCACTTCATTTAGGCTGAGCAAGCTTAGAAAAGCAAACAATTCTTGAATGCTATTTGCCAATTATAACATGGAAAAGAATTATAAAAAGTTTAAACTTTAAATCAAAACAGAACTAGAGCTGACGTCACCCTCGTCCTTATACCTTACAGGGCATTCATTTTTCAATTCATTTGAGGACTGGCATATAATACTGATTGCCATGAAGAGCTTTAAAACTTCATTTTCCTTTGGTTTGGAGTCCTGTTGCCTCTGTCCTGCCCTTCCTTCAGCAGCTCCTGGCTTGTGATGGGATTCAGCACAAATGCAGCAAGGAGGACATCTCCTTCCTGTTCTACAGGAGGATGACAGTGAAAAGCAATGCAATAAAGACTATGTGCTGCCTGGATTACATGGCCTAACTACTATTCAAAAGACTGTGATTCTTAACAGAGCGTAATTCACACACCTTACCCATAACCAACCTTACATTTGTTGTATTAAATCAAGTCTCTAGCTCATGCCTATGAGGAGGCTATACGACCTAGGAGTATCTGGCAATCCATGCACTTCTTTAAGCCTCCTCAAACTTTTGCCCTGCTTAGGGGTTTCTGCCACCAGAAGAGGTACTTTTCTTACAATAAAAAAAACCAAACTCATGCGGTTTCTTTGAAAGTGCAAAAGGTCTCTGCTACCCTCAGCAGGGTGCTTACACGAGATTTGTTTTATAATGTAAAAGATACAACTCCTAAAGCCATTCCCACCTCTCCCAGCAGTTTGCTTCTATTCCACACCACTGGAAAAAAAAGGTACAACAAAACAGTTGCCAGAGTTTCCTCCTAGGTGCATTTTGCTCTGTGCAGTTTTATAGCAGGACCTCAGTCCCCACACTTGAGGGCTCGTACCAGGCTGGGCTGCGAGTGTCACACAATTTGGACCAAACTGAAGAGTACTGCAGCTCCCCAGCCTGAAATAAGGCGATTCTCACAGCCCGCAGCATGCAAACTTTAGCACTGAGAAGCTACTTATTTGCAAAACAAAAACATAGCTAATGAGATCTTGCTGCTTCTTTAAACCATTTTGAAACGTGCAAGAAGGATGGAAAAGTAGCTGCAAGCAGATGTTGGTTTTACGGCTCTGTTTAAGTGATACTGCAACACTTGATAGCACACAATTTCAGATCGCACAGCTATTACATTCTTTCTGCTCTCAACTAGAAGCTGATCAGGTGAGGATTAAGATTTCATTGCTCTAGCATGAAGCTCTCATGAAGAATGCTTATTCAAAATAGAAATCTACCAAACAGTAAGAACTGTACAGGTCCATTTGGCACCTTCTCTAAAAGTTCCCATCAGTGTTCAATCTTGTCTATGCAGGCACTTTTTCCCAGCCCAGTCTCTAAGGGTGCCTCAACAACCACTACATCTGTTACAAACAAACAAGAGTACAAAAGCCAATTGTGCCGCATTTCGCCACCTTGTGATGCGTGCACAGCACAGTACACTTCAGAGTTCCTAATTCAGAACTGTTGTTTAAGAGCAACAAGGTCAGCCCTGAGAACAGCAAGCACCAGCGGCCTCTGCTTGGGGAGCCCTTGGAGCAAAAGCAGAGAGTACAGCACTGGCCTCCAGCTCCCCAAAGCATTGCATTGCCATGAGCTGGCACTGCTGAGATATCATCTGAAGTCTCTTTCTCACTGGAACTAAAACATGGGGTTTTGATGAGGGATACAAAACCAGGCTAAGCAAGAATCACTTCCTTTAACTTCCTCTTTCAGATTTAAACCACGTTTCCTAAGTAACCTGCTCGAACTGTCAATAAGAAAAAAAAAGCAGCAGCAATAAAATTAATCCCTGTTTACAATCTGCTTTCACTAGAAAGAAAAATAAACAAATTACTGCAGCTTTTTATTTAGCAGCAATCCAGTTTTTTCAGTTACTTCACTTGTTTTGCACTGACTGTGGTAGAACCACAACAACAAAAAAGCATCTTTAAAAACAAGAAGCAGAGCATCACACTGCAGCCGACCACGTGAAGCAAAGCAGGAAGGTGTCAGGCCTGCAAGATGTACAGCTGAAAAAACTGGGAAGCCAGGAGGAGAAGCCACAGTCCCCAGGTCTCCAACCTCATTCACTGACTGAGTCACCACCACATGTCACATGAGAGCAGCCCAGCAGGAGTACAGACAGCGAGGAGGAGGAGGAAAGCAGGATGGCAAGAGGGCACAGCAAATCAGTGGAGAGAGCCCAAAGGCAAAACCTTTTGGGAAGCAGCAAGAGCTGAAGGACAGCAACAGGGGTTAAATCCTTCTTTCAGAATCCTTCTTTCAGATACGTGACTGAACTACATCCCGATTTTATGTCTTGATTTGTAAGAAAAAAATACAATTTCTCATTACGCATTTGGCAGAACTCCTGGGCTTTTTTTCTTTTTCTCCTTCAGTTCCTACCTTCCTACATTAGAATTACAGGGAAGCTACAGAACAAGCCCTCACTCCTTGTTTTCCCTCTCAGAGGAGCACCCAACATCTGCAAGCTGTCTTCCTGTCCCCTCATCCCCGCGCACAGAGGACACAGGAGCAGTGCTGATGCAGTAACAGCAGCTCCAATGCTAGGGATAAAGCTGTGTCAGCTTTCCTGTTATGAACACGTCTTATCTCTGTTAATAACATAATTTGGATCAAGTCTTTCTCCCTTCCAACAAGCAACGTTACATTATAAATGTATAAATATCTCCATAAAGGTCATTTTCATACATCTCTCTTTTTATTCTTTTTTGACATTAGAATCAATATTGCAGTGAAATAAGCAAATATTGTTTTCCAACCAAACCCTTCTGGTACCTGCAAGAGACTGCCTATAATAAGAGCATTTAAAACAATTATTTTTGTACTTTGGGAAGCTTTAGTCCAGTATTAGTGCTTTCATTGCCTACAAGAGTGCACTTTGTATGCTATAGAGACACATTTTCAATATATTTGGGAAAGGTAATCCAGAAAAACTTAAGGCCGTGCACCGGGGTAGATGGAATTATCTAAGCCTATCCTGCCTTGAGCTTGACTAAAGTAAGGAGGAAAGGAGAGAGAAAGAGACTCGTATGAGAACAAGGACCTAACTAACAGACTTGCAGTGTGACAGAGAGGTTTTCCAGAGTGCCCTAGACTGCTCAGGTCATTTACTAACCCCAGAGTGACAAATCATAAGGGAGGCTAGTGTTTATCAGAAAGACGGAGGAAGAAGGAGACAGAGAGAACAAAGATCAATCTATCAACACTAGAAGACTCTGTTAAAACAAAACAAAATGAAGTCTAATACCATAGAAGACTGCCTAAGTCCATGCCACATACAAGAACATGGAAACTGCAAGTCAGTTGAACTGCTGCACCCTGAGCCCACAGCACCTCACCGAAATGCTGGGATGTGCTTCAGAGGGAATGTCAGCCTCTGCTTTTGAAATCCCTCTCTAATCCCCCATTTGGCAAGCAAATCCAAACCCAACAGCTGCCGCTGCTCAGTTAAGTTTAAAGCCCAAATTCACAGAACAATTTAAACTGCTGCATCCACAAGACAACAGTAGAGAAAGATGTTACTGATTTGACAAACCCCATCAAATGGGCCAATCAAGGCTACTTGGTGGAATCATACTTAACTATTAACAGAAAGCAGCCTGGAGTGCAAAGATGGAATTCCCTCACTGCAGGACTGAAAGATGCTCAGCGTCCCCCATGCGTCACTCAGAACCCAGCAGTATTGATGCTAAGTAACTCTGGAAGCACAAGACCATCTTACAATCAATTTCTGCAGAAACTCTGCCCTACCAAGGGCAAGGAGGAGATGCAGTGGGTGGCTGTCTTCTCCATTTCTGTCTCACAAAGCTTTCAGTTCTCACTTCACGTGACCCGGTATTAAATTGTTTTCACCATCAGCCCAGATTACAAAGCTATTCTCAATAAAAAGCAAGATGTCTTATACCTCCACATTCCAGGCTCCTGAGCTATAATAAACAGCAGCATGCTCAACAGAAGCAAGGGGCAAGACTCATGGTGGCATTATCACCTGACAATAAGCACAGCTGTGCAATCACCTGGGGCTTTCCAAAAATTACCCACTGACCGTATGCAGACAGAAGTCAGCATGCTACCAGTATGCTTTGTGGAATACACATCACAGTACATTCCTTCCTGAGACACAAACCCAATCTTTCCTGATACATTTAAAAAAAGAAAAAAAAAGAAAGCACAGATCCGTCTCTGTTAAAAGGGCGGATTACAAAAGACAAGAGCAGTGAGAAGCACTGAGTTGGCTTTCTGGTACATCACACGATTTCCAGGTACTGCAGGCTGGACAAGAGCATCTCATCCTGGAGACACCCCCTCCCAACTCTTGCAGCAGCGGTAACAATGCGACGGCTGCAGGGATCCCGAGGCAGCAAACTGGACCGTACCTTCATGGGTAGGCTCTGGGTCGGGGGTCAGCGAGATGTCATCCAGCTCGCGCAAGCAGAGCCATTCTCCGTCCATGGACACTCGGAATTTGCAAAGATAGATGGTCTCCATGGCAGCCTGAGTGATCTTGTCGGTGGTGGGGGTTGGCATGTCGCTTTGAGGCGTCAGAGCAGACATGATGACTCAGCTGGTACGACAACAACAGGGAAAAAAGAACTAAGAAGAAGGGCTTTTGGAAGAAGAAAACAAGAAATACCTTGCTATTATAGGTCAGATATGCTCAGGATCGCACAGACTGCTTTGGCCCTTTCATATATAAAGCAAGGTAAAAACGTTGCTCCTTCACGCTCGTCTGTTCCTCCCTCCTCTTCGTCAGCTGTCGTTGTCTTCAGATAATGCTAAAGGCTATTGATCCTAAGCAACCACAGGAAACCTGGCTTCTGCATCAAAGATGGAAAAAAAAAAAAAAGATAAAAAAAAATATTAAAAGAAAAAAAAAATGCAGGAAGAAGAAAAAAAAAAGGGCTTCCTCTGATGGCTACCCAAGCAAAAACAAAGGAAGAACGTAGAAAAAGATCTCCAGGTTTGCTGAAATGAAGCTGCTGGTGCCTTTCTTGCCAGCTCAGGCAGGGCAGCGAGTGCTGCTAGGATTGGTTGTGCGCAGTAAGCAGGGTGTTGACCAAAATGGCTGACTAATGAACTGAACTGAAAATTCAAGCTCATGTGACCAGCTGCTCTGAGCGTGGGGCGAGCAATTCCCAGGATGCTTTATAGGCGCTGCTGATGCAGGGACGGCAATTAGGTCTCATCATCCCCAGCAGCTTCTCATCAGGCTCTGCTGGGCAATTTCCGAGCAGCACAGCACGGATTTCTCATCAGCCGCCCCCGTACTACAAAGAGCAGTGCAAGGAATACAAAGAGACATCTGTATTCCTCTCATGCGCTGGATGCCGCTGCACGAGTGAAGTAAGTACCTTTGTTTTCACAGCAGGTGCGCAGTTCCATTCTATTTTTGTTGTGCAACCCCCTCATGTGGTACCTTTGAGCTAAGATTTCCCATGCATAGAGAAATTTTAGGACTGATTTATCAGCTCGGGAAACAACGAGAAAAAAAAAAAGAGCTCTACAGCTAAGCACTTCAGTAAGGTAGGATTAAGATGTTTGAGAAGGGCACTCGCACAACCGGAGAACAGTGAGGAACAACACAAACATATGGAGGTATGCAACAATCTCAGAACTTCAAAAGCATCAGCTGAAAGCAGGTATTGCTCAGGTGAAGTTCAGGATGAAGCAGCACCTCTCAGCAGGCACAGAAACGGGCTCTCAGTGTCTCAAGAGCCAAACAGCAGTCCCGTGCACCCAGATGAACTTCCTCCATGCCTCGGCCCACACATCCCATCTCTGGGGCACGGAAGGCAGCGCTGCTCCATGCCAGCCCACTGAGAGCCTTCTTATCCTCAGTCACTATTCAGCCAGCAACATGATGCAGGATTTCCGCTCCCGGGAGCTGTGGGACGGTTCTATTCTTGAGTGGCTCCAGTATGTGGCAGAGAGTAGGTGGGCAGCATCCATCTGAAATGGAGGCTCGTCCCCAGCACCCACCCAAAGAAGTGAGCAGAAGCTGACTGTTCACCAACAAAGCACATCGATGGGAACACAGGGATGATTGCTCACAGGACCTCAATTACAGACTGTATACTTTTCCCTAAAGAAATGCCAGAAAAAACATATCCATTTCTAATAAAGATAAAACAAAAAACAATCCCTCGATGCAGAAATCCAAATGCCAACTCACAAAGCTATTTTTTTTTTTTTTATTTTTTTAAGAAAGCACTCAGTATATCAAAAATTCAAAATGAAACTGGAGAAAAAAACAAAACAAACAAAAAAAAAAAACCACAGAAAGTTCACTGTTTTTTCCACCAAGCAAGAGAAAGCTGCTGCTTCCAGTGAAAACTTCCTGCTTGGCACACAGCATTCTCACTCAGCACCTCTTTCTCCCCACTACACTAAAAGAAAAAGCCACGCAGCATGTTATTACAGTGATGGAAAGAAGAATTACATGACAGATAACAACAGTTACTACTGTTCCCTCTGTCTAAGAAGGAATGGGCTTGATATCACATGCTGACACACTAGCTCATATCATACTTGTATGTCCTCTCAACAAGCTCCAGTTTCAGCACTCACATCTCACTAGTCCAAAAACCAGTGAAAGTTGTCTTACACAGCTACAGAACACTGTGCCCTTTGCTCTTGCTTTCTGAAGCAGTCCAAACAAACAGCAAATCATCAGAATAAACTCTTAAGAGTCAACAAATTACCACGAGCTATTTTGTAAACTGATGTATGTAACTGTCAATTGTAACTACAAATAACACTGGGTGCAACCCTGCAGCTCCCACTTCAAAACAATGGTCTTCCACTGGCTTCAGCACTGACAAATGACCCACACAGAATGATCACAGCAGAAGTTTCTTTAGGTATTATTCTACTGGTTTCCTTGTATGCCATCTGCTTCTTCTGACCATGAAGAGATAAAAGCAGCCACTCCGCCCTTTTCAGCCCAGGTGTGTTTTCAGGCTTTCCTTATGCAACGTTTTTGCTCTAAATACTGCACAGGGATTTTTAATCAAGGAAAACTGAAGTGATGCAGTGGCACAGGCTGTCCATGGAGGTGGTGCAGTCACCGTCCCTGGTGGTGTTCAGGAACCATGGAGATGGGGCACTGAGGGCTGTGGTCAGTGGGCATTAGTGGGATGGGATTGGACCAGGTGATCTTACAGGTCTTTCCCAGCCTTCACGATTTTATGAAAGTAAATCAAAATATTGCTTCTGAAATATTTTGTTTCATGAGCACACCTCACACAACACAGACAGAATATATCACCTGTCACACTTTGAACAATTGCTAGACTAGAAGAAACAGCTACCTCACCTCAATAAAAGTTATATTTCCTTGAAGCACAACACCAAAACGTCTCCGCAGATGCTGAAAACCTGATTGATTGTAACTGATTTTACTAAAACAAAACAATAAAACCCCGCAACACAAGAGCTATCCTGTGTGATCTATCGAATCTTCCCCCCCCCCCCCCAGAAAAAAGGACATGAAACCTCTACCCCTACCCTGGGTCTCAGAGTTATAAAGCAACAAAGAATCTTATAAAACAACAGTATCATGTACTTGTAGCTTTCATAAAGCCTTTGAAAAAGAATTCCTCACAACTTGATGCCAAGCGCTGGAGCTGTAGGAGGGTTTGGGTTCAGTGAATGGTCAAGTGCAGGTTATAAGGGAAGGGGAGGTCAGTCAATGAAGGATCTCTTTCTGAACCTTAAACAAGTCAGATGCTTGGAGCAGTCCTAGAAAAATCTAGTACTAACCACACTTTGGCAAAGCAGGATAGAGGCTCTGGCCAGATTACAAAACACAGCAGTTGGCAAATATGTTTGAATTTTAGCACTTCACAGTTTGAAAGCAAACCATTCCACCATCCAGCAGCGTTTCAAATCTCAGTTGTACTGGAGAGTATTTCCAATTTATTCAGCTTTTAAAATGAAAAAAGGTCTAAACAATGACAAACCAATCCCCTAAACCACCTTTCAGACTCCTGAGGGCACCTTTGAGCCCTTGTGCTTCTAGCGCCGGCACAACCAACCTGCCACCACCCCGACCTTCGTTCCTTAGCAGAGAACTTCCCCCCCCCGATGGCTGCACAGGGGCTGCACAACAGCCAGACAGCAAAACGGCAGCGTTGGCAGATGAGATTACTGCTTCAGATGACTGCATGACTTCTGGTTATTTAAAATCGCAGGAGACCACTGAACCATATTTAAAAAAAGAAAAAAAGAAAAAAAGAAAAGCTATCAACACTACACAGATTGGAAGCACTGTCAAAAGGAAACTACCTGACGGCAACAGCTCAGACATACCACAGGGCTCTGAGCAGCTGCTCATCATCTTGAGAGAGAGTACAGGAGCAGATAATTCCACGCAGACAAGATTAAAAAATTATGATGAAACACCAGCTTTCATACCACAGCATAAGATAAGCATGAATCATAAGCAAGTTTGTGCATGTTTTTGTAAAGCAGGTAGCATGTTTGTGACTGATGCATAAGATCAGACAGCTTGTCATTCCAGTCCAGTAAGGCAGCTCCCACACTTTTATGTGAAACAATTCTGGTCTTTCTATTTTCTTCCTTGATATGCAAAACTCTTGCTGGCAGATCCAAGAACACAACTTCTGCTCTCATGCAACCTCTCTCTCCTCCCCTTTGACTTCAGCCTGCACCAACACACCACCAGCTGCCCCGCCTTCCTTTCAGTGGCTGTGCCAGCTGTGACCACTGGAAATTGGGATCAGAATCTGTTTCCTGAACAAGTGACAAACTTTGTTCTCTTATTACTGTGAAGTACAGAGATTTAAGGAATCAAATACCTCCGGCAGGCTTTGAGTGGGAGCAAGGAAGGCAGCATAATCAAGTGGCTTTTACAGCATTTAAGAAGTATTCTGAGTATTTACTACAGCTCAGCATAAGTCTTCCTCTTATTCTCTCTCTGATTGGAACCATCTGTATCAAGAAAGCAGGTGCTGCTGGCATCAAAAGCTTCTGCAACCTACTTCAAATAAACACTACTTCAAATAAACTTTCAAAATATTCTGCAATATTGCCTCCCCACTGCGTTAGTCACTATCCCGCTTTAAGAGGCAAATATCAATACAAAGACATTATTCTTATTGCAACTTATGGAAATGACACCGAAGAGAAGAACTCATGATCTAAGCAGGAAACACCTTTCACTTAAATCTTTTCAGTTTACAGCTAAGTAGAGAGGGATTAGTCTTCACAGAGTACGTCACATCTTTAATCCAGGCACAAGATGCAAAAATAGCCTTCTTCTCACTCCTCAGCTTATCTTAACTCCAAAAATAACCGGAGCACTGAAGAATCAAGGGAAGCAGACATGATCGACTACTTTGGTTGCAGAACAAAGAGCAAAAGAAGTCAACACTGAGAGTCACGTGCCATGGAAATGTGCATTCATGGCACTGAAGGAGAGCCTGTGGCACAGGGTCTGCAGGCCAGCCATGGCCTTCCCCAGCAACACAGGCAGAGCAATCCTGATAGCACAGACCACTGTTACTGACACCACGTCTCAGAGCCACACAGAAGAACTACCATTCAGAGGAGGTGCTGAGAGTGACACCATCTGCAAGGCCACATACTCTACAGGTAGCCAAAAGCAAGGTCAGCACTAAAACAAACTCCTTTCTCCTCCAGAGCCAAGCTCTACCACTGCTTTAACATCAGTCCTGAAGCAGCAAGTGGATAGGCAGAACTTAGGAGCAGCGCCCACTTTTCCAGAGACACGAGAACCAAAACATAACAACAGGCACAATGAGAAAGTTGGCTTGCAGACAAAACATGTGCCAGAAGAAACAGAGCACAGTCCATGACACCAGGCAAATAAATTGTGGCTCCTGTTCCGTTCAGACACAGCTATGACTGAGTGGGCTTCAACATCTGATATTGTGCAGGCAGCTATTACTTCTGAGACAGAAAAGCGCAAGGGAGTTTCTGTACATCTTTCCTAGGGCTTTTCCCAAAGCTTATGCAGGCAGCCAGCGCTGTAACACCAACACAAAGGACGACGCACTGCTCAGTGGCGAGGCTGTACACTAACTCCTGGAGATCTTGAGCAAACAAGCTCACCTCAGTGCCTCAGCTCCACACATCTGCACAGACCCTCCACAAAGGAATCAGAAGAATTCAGCGTTTTTGAACGTTATGAAGTACCATAATAAAGACTAAACACAGAATCACAGAATGGCCAGGGTTGGAAAGGACCTCAAGGATCACGAATCTCCAACCCGCCACAGGCAGGGCCACCAATCTCCACATTCAATTCTAGACCAGGCTGCCCAGGGCCCCATCCAACCTGGCCTTGAATACCTCCAGGGATGGGGCATTCACAACCTCCCCAGGCAGCTGAAATACATTTTTTAAGCGCACGAGAGATTCTCTTCACCTCAAATAGCTCAATCCCTCCTCACACACATATCACACAACTACAGCGAAGAAAGGTTTCCTGATTAGGAAGCATCAGTGTGTAAAAAGGAAGGTTTTGACAGGAAGTTAGCGGCCTGAATGACAGCCGAGCAGGGTGGGCAGGCAGCAGCTGGCAGCAGGGGCTCTTCCTGTAACTAAAAACAAAGGGAAATCATTTCAGCTGCTCCCTGTTACAAAAATCGACTTTTGGTCTCAGCGGTCATAGCTTTGCTGAGTAATAGCTAAATAAAGTGCATTAGCTTCAAAAAGAGAACAGCACAAAGATACTCTCTCCAAAACAAACGGGCTGCGAGGTCTCGAAGGGCCACACGACGCTTCTCGGGAGAGGGACAGAAACCTGCGGCTCCCGCAGCGCCGGCGGCGCCGAGCCGAAGGACCAGCGTTACCCGCCCGCCAGCACCCCGCGTCCCGGCGCCGACCCGCCCGCACGAGGGAGCGGCGAGGCCACGACCGCAGCCTCGGGGGACGGGCGAGTTTGGGGAAGGACGCCCCGTCACAGGAGCCCGAGGTACCGACTGCTAATTCACGCCTGCGGACCGCGGGGCAGCCCCGGCACCCCGCCCCAGCCTCACAAAGGCCCCTCCGCGGCACCTCCCCACACGGCCCCGCCGCTACTCACGGGCCGCGGCGCCGTCGGGCCCCGGGTAGCTCAGCAGCAGCACGGGCAGCGCGGCCCCTCCGCGGGGCGCCGGGGGTCTCCACGCGCCGTGCGGCGCGGCCGCGCCTCCATGGCCGGGGTAGAGGAGGAAGAAGGGCGGCGAGGCGGGGCGCGCCTCGTCCTCCTCCTCTGTCACCGCCGCCTCCTCCGGGCCGGGCTCGGCTCGCCGCTCCATGCCGGGAGGCGACTCGGCTCCCACCCCGGCCCCGTCCCGGGAACTTTCCGCCGGCGGCGGCAAGAGAGGCGCCCGCTCCGCCTCCGCCATCGCCGCCCCGAACCCCCGGCCCCGCCCCGGGCGGGAAGGAGCGCCGGAGCCGACCCCGCCGCGGGCTTCCCCCGCCGCGTGAGGGGAGGCGGCGCGCGGCCCCGCCTGCCTTCCGCGTGCGAGGGGCGGGGAGGCGGTGGCGGCCCCGGAGGTGCGGAGCTGCACTCGCCGGCCCGAGCCCTGGCAGGGGGAGGCGGGACTTAGCGCGTGAGCGGCGCCCGAGAAGGCGGGCTCCCACCCGCGGGAACTTATCTGTGCAACGGGCCGGCGCCCTTCGCTCTGCGTGCGCCCGGCCTGCCAGGGGGCAGGACTGCACTGGGAAAGGCGTTTCCCGATCCTCTGACGAGAGGTGACAACACCGAGCCCAGATGTCGCCTTTACCGCTTATACAGCCACGGGCGTAGGGCTGTGCCCGGGGGCTCTCACTCCAGCAGGAGGTCCCAGCGCGGGGCTGCAAGCGGCAGCAGCAGCAAAGAATGAGACTGTCAGCTCTTTAGAGCAGCCCGCACTCAGGAAGCTGAGGTGAAGATGAAACGCGTCACTTTTCCCTTTTTTTGATCTCACAGAGCCCCGAAGACATCTGCCTGCTGGGGGCTGCCTTCCAGCACTGCCCCACATCATACACTGTGTGCCCGCTGCCTTAACAGGACGTTTGGTTTTGAGATGCATACTGACACTGTGAGCCAGAGTAAAATCACGTCCAAACTCTTGCTGATGGCACACAATGGAAGACAGCTGTAAAAGCAAAATGAAGGCAGTAGCAAATCTATTTCCTTTTGAGTCGTTAAACGCATTTTCCTTACCCTGTGTGAACAGCAAATTCACACTGTGACGCAGAAAGCACTGTCCATCTCTGCTGCTGTAGTTGTTCAGTTCCAATTTCCAAAGGCTTACTCTGGATGAAAGAACAAAAAAATGGTGCTTTAACCACCAATTCACTCCACTTCTTATTTCCTGACTATCGCCTACAGTCCTTCCCATGTTTCACATGCATCTGTTTTTATAGGGGTCTTGAAAACCTAACCACCATCAAGGATTTCACATCAGCACAAAACATACCTCCAAAAAGCATTTATGAGAGCAACATTGTGATGTTCTCCCTCCCACGGTAATAATCACAGTTGTGATTACTCATACACACAGCCGTACTGAAAAGGAGTATTTATGGCTTTGTCCAATCTCTGAGCCAACCAACTGAACAAAATGCCGTGTTTAATCTTCATTTAAACGGGTTGGTGCAGTGGTCCTGGGAGACACGCTGTGCCATCTGCTGGCTGCCTGCAGTGGGCACGCTGACATGCACTGTCTGCTCTCGCCTTGAGCCTTAACCCCAATGTTTCTGGAAAAGCAAGCCTGTAAGAATATCACAATGTATATCCCTTATTTACTGCTCAGATGGAAGTTGCCAGAATTTTGCTTCCCAGATGTCTAAAGCTTTTCAAGGGAATACAAAGCCACGAAGGATACTTGCAGCTTATCTGCCAATTTATGGAAGTGCATCAGCCTCTCTTTTTCACACCAAGTGTGAAATGTGCATGAACAGATGCTGTAGTAATGAGATCGGTTAGCTTCTCCGCAGGACATTTTTCACATCCCCTATAACATCTGTTACCACCAAAGCTGCTTTTTCCCTAACATATTACCTTTTACTGACCTCTTCCCAAAGCCTCAGCACTGCCAGTGGTGGCCTCCATTGTCAGCCCAGTGCAGAGTCAATAGAATGACGTACTTTGGGAAAATGCACTTGTTTCCCTCCATGGTACATCTTAGACTTGTTTCTCATACTGAAGCAGACTTGCACATTTAACATGATTACCCACTCAAAGCCATGCATTTTCTCTGGGAACAGCAGGCAGCTAACATTGTTGATTGCTGCTTACAGTATGAAAGAGTAAGTATTACACGTCTTACCCAAAGCCATGATGTCAGCAAGAGCATTGCTCAAATGAAAAGGTATTTTCAGTGACCTCTTCAAGAAAGCCTCATGTTTGCATTGGTGACACTCACTGAATGAAGATTCAGCAAGTACCCCAACCTGAGTGGCTAAACTTCTGTAGAGAAGTCAGCTGCAGGGCTTCAGATGGCAATTTCAATCTTAAAACACTCACTGCTGTGACTTCAGGTCATGAGAAATGAATCCTTTCTCCCGCACATACTTTCAACCCTTCCTCTCCCCACACACAGACCTGCTAACAGTACAGACAAGTCTCAGTGCTGATCAAAAATGACAAGGTTTACTTCTCCACTGCCATCAACACTCCTCATTAGTTTCCATTACCTCCTGTGGTACAAAACACCACAGCTCTGCAGGCAGGCAAAGACCTCCAGGGCAATTACATGGGGAGGGGAGTCAATTCACAATGAGCTGCAGTAAAAACCTGTTTCAATGGAGCAGCTCTGGTTTTGATCATTCAGCAGTACTGAACTGCTGTTTGGCCTGTGAACAGCAGGGGGCAAACAAATACAGGACCAACGAAGCCAGCAGAACTTACAATCTTGAGCCCACTGAAATCCTCTCTGACATTGCCATGCATAGCTCTTACCCCACGGATTTAGGATATACAAAGACTATAAAAGGTCTCCTTACCTCCATTTCCATACTTTTAGTGTCTGATGTTTTTTCACCTCTAACAAACAGCTATAAAAAAAAAATAACAAAACATTCTGCAGTCAGCAAGAAAGCATGATCCTGGGCAGGAAAAGGCCTAAGATAGAATGGTTTGCATCAAACCCTATAGAAATGCATTTTGTATGCAGAAATTCAGCACTGCTTGCATATTTTAAATACAGCACCTAGCCTGTCATGGGTTCACATACTCATAGTTTGGCTTCTCTAATAACATCATACTAACTATAAGGTGAAAATAAAAGTACTTCTTACCTGTTTCTCCTGTATCAATGTTGTGTTAGATCTGTAATAGCAAGCAACAGTTAGCAAATTAATCATAGATTAAGCTAATGTAGTTATGGTTGATGAATAATTAATTACGCAATCCAGAGGAGTCCTCACTTTGCTTCTCACTGAATTCTCAAGAAGGGGAAATGGTTTCTCAGGTCATATGCAATTTAAGGCAATAGCCTCTGCTTAATTACTAAAGAAAGAATATCCAGGAGAGTGTAACAGTTAATTCTTACATGTATGAGAACGAGTTAATCAGAGCATAAATTAAGAGAAAATACCATAACCATTTATATCTAACCCCACAGCTCTATACCTCAGCTCTATGGGCCAGGAGAGCACAGTAAGGAGATGCTGGCAGTGATAGCCACGCGCTCCTTCCTACCACTCTGGGCACAGTCCCGTTGGTTCTGGCCGCCACGAGTTCTTTTCTCAGCCTACCCTCTGGAGGACCTTCCATCTCTCTCCTGCTGCCCTCAAGTCCTGTCTGATCCACATCCATCCCTTTGCTTGACACAACCCTTGCAGCCTCTCAAAGCCATATTCACAGCACAGGTCATTCCAATAGAGGAAAACACACTAACAAGCAGGCAAAACGAGGAAGGCACCCTGTACTACTTCTAGAGATGGCACCTTCCGAAAAGCATCCTCCTATAAAAGAAGCAAACGAGCACACAAAAAACTCTCAAAGGAGAACTCCCACTCAAGGATTAAAAAAACAAAACAAAACAAACACCAAGAGAGTATCTTTTACAAAAATTTTATTGCATTCAGAACTCTTACTTGAAGCTCTCTTAAACAGAGAGAAATAAGTTTCACTGAAGCTTTCTGCTCTTCTTAACTCCAGCACGAATGCCAGAGAGTTCCCCACCATATCTGTGTATCTCCCTCCGAACCTCTCGGACCTGACCCTTCCGGCGAATCTTGGCTCGCCTGAACTTCTCCCTATGCTTGACCCTGGGGTTGCGATCAATCTTCTTCCTCCTGGGAGTGAGGCCTTTGTTCTTGATCATCTGGTAAGTCACACCTCTCTTCTGGTTTGGATCCTCTTCTGTCACTGGTTCTTCGAGTGTTTCCTGTTCTTCAGTTCTCTTCCTCTTAAGTTTCAATTTCTCTTCCATCATCTTATAGTATTTTAGCGCAGCCTCTCCATCCAGATCAGATTCATCTGCCAGTTCCTCAGCAACAAGCCGGCCATTAGCAAGATCAGTTTCACGTTTTCGTTTGGTTTTCTTAGCAACTGGTTGAAGAAGCACTGGAAACTTCTTCCGCTCCCGGAGTTTTTCCTCCTTCTTATCGTAATAGTTTTTCAGAAGCAGGCGAACCTGTGAGGATAACTTTTGATCTATCACAGCTAGGTCATTGATGATATTTCTGTAAGCAACCAGTCGTTCAATGATGGGATGACTATGAACTGGCATTCGTTTTGACTTTAAAACTAAGTAGAAACTGATGTTGGCACAGTAATTCAAGTAGAGCTGATACTTGGTCTGCAAATAGCGACTGCCTTTCCCCTGTGGGATAGTGCCATTTTTTACCATTTGCAGCAGCGGGTGCAGCTCATCCTTGAGCTCCATCAGTTTGACTTCAAAGTCTTCAATCAGCTGCAGGAGTTCAGGAGACTCCTGCTTCAATAGCTTCAGCTGCTCTTTCTTGGAAAGGGCCTGCAAATCCTTGACAATCTTCTGCCCCTTGCTATCATGGGTTTTCTGTTGCTCCGTCAGGTAGCCCTGGATCACATCCAGCCCATAATCATCTTCCCCCAAGTCCTCCACCAGCCGCTTTTGGATCACTTTAGCCTCCTGCTCCTCTTCCTCCTCCTCAGCA